TATGAATTATATTTTTTAATATCCTTCAGCATCATATTTTGATAAAAAAAAAAAAAAATTATATATATAAAAAAAAAAAAAAAATTAAAAAATTAAAAAATGAAAAATTAAATTATTTAGCATTAAAAATAAATTTACACTTTAATTTTTTTAAATTTTTGTATTGTTAATGCAATTTTATATTAGATCTTATATCTAGAATTTAAAAATTTAACTAAATTATATAAATTTTTGTCATTCGAAACAAATATGTGCAAAATATATACATATGTATGTAATTATGTATATTCCACACAATATACCCTTGGTACCGTATCAAATGATATCACAGGGTATCAAATGAAAATGCTGTAAATGGCAGGCAAGCGAGAATCTGGAGTTGCAATGGAAATGAAAGTGGAAGTGGGAATGGAAATGGAGGAAAAGGTCGCAACATGTGTAAAACAACGAAGGCCAAGCCGTACACACACACACACACACACACACATACACACACGAGTGCGCATAATTATGGAACGCACTGTTGGCGCTTGAGCGTCCTGTGATTTGCATATTTTTATGCTGCAACGAATATTATGCACAATATATACACACTCACACACACACATATGTATATATATATACCATAACACACACTCATAGCGAGCCGTTATATGTTATGAATATTGCGTATTAAAATGCAAATTAAACACAAATTAGCACGCCTTAAAAGTGGGCGTCGAGTGTCGGCACAAGCTGCTAACCCAGATATCCCCTATATATGTATATACTATATAGATGTACATATATATACATACATATGTATGTGTGTATGCCCTATCTACATGTGCAGGCAGTTGACATGTGTCGCCTTGCATTAGGCGTGCGATGCCACAGGCCACAGCGCCTCAGCCTTAGCTCCCTCAAGTGCCGACGGCATTTATGGCAGCGGCACAGTGGGGCCACGCTAAGTGCGAGGCTGTCGCGCACTTGACCGCCATCATTCAATTTCAATTTCAATTTACTGGACAATTCGCTCGGCAATTATGTCAATCATCTGACAGCAGCAGCAACAACAGCTCACCCATACATATGCACGTATAACGGCTTTTTACGAACGGGGCGTATCTGGTCTCAGGACCAATTTGATTACCAATTGGGCGGGGCCATTAGAGGCATCTTCTCCCTGAGGCATAAAAAAGTCCTAATGTACTTATAATACATATAAGACTAAAGACTAAAGACTAAAGACTAAAGACTAAAGACTAAAGACTAAAGACTAAAGACTAAAGACTAAAGACTAAAGACTAAAGACTAAAGACTAAAGACTAAAGACTAAAGACTAAAGACTAAAGACTAAAGACTAAAGACTAAAGACTAAAGACTAAAGACTAAAGACTAAAGACTAAAGACTAAAGACTAAAGACTAAAGACTAAAGACTAAAGACTAAAGACTAAAGACTAAAGACTAAAGACTAAAGACTAAAGACTAAAGACTAAAGACTAAAGACTAAAGACTAAAGACTAAAGACTAAAGACTAAAGACTAAAGACTAAAGACTAAAGACTAAAGACTAAAGACTAAAGACTAAAGACTAAAGACTAAAGACTAAAGACTAAAGACTAAAGACTAAAGACTAAAGACTAAAGACTAAAGATTAAAGACTAAAGATTAAAGACTAAAGACTAAAGACTAAAGACTAAAGACTAAAGACTAAAGACTAAAGACTAAAGACTAAAGACTAAAGACTAAAGACTAAAGACTAAAGACTAAAGACTAAAGACTAAAGACTAAAGACTAAAGACTAAAGACTAAAGACTAAAGACTAAAGATTAAAGACTAAAGACTAAAGACTAAAGACTAAAGACTAAAGACTAAAGACTAAAGACTAAAGACTAAAGACTAAAGACTAAAGACTAAAGACTAAAGACTAAAGACTAAAGACTAAAGACTAAAGACTAAAGACTAAAGACTAAAGACTAAAGACTAAAGACTAAAGACTAAAGACTAAAGACTAAAGACTAAAGACTAAAGACTAAAGACTAAAGACTAAAGACTAAAGACTAAAGACTAAAGACTAAAGACTAAAGACTAAAGACTAAAGACTAAAGACTAAAGACTAAAGACTAAAGACTAAAGACTAAAGACTAAAGACTAAAGACTAAAGACTAAAGACTAAAGACTAAAGACTAAAGACTAAAGACTAATGACTAAAGACTAAAGACTAAAGACTAAAGACTAAAGACTAAAGACTAAAGACTAAAGACTAAAGACTAAAGACTAAAGACTAAGGACTAAGAGTCTTGTTAACTTGTATAATCTATCAGATCAAATATATATACTGTATATCTAAATTCTAAGTAAATAAACTGAAATATATTTTCAAGTTATTTACTATTTACACACACATGAATGATATTGAAAATTTGTTATGCAAAGCTGTAGACCTCAAGCCCTCAAACATTGATTATAATAAATCCAAATTTGATTCATAAAAAACCTTAATTAAAATATTATAATTTGCATAATCGAATCAATTTAATAACATTCAATTATGCATTGCATTCAACTGGAATGTTTATTTTTATGCATTCATATTTGCAATGAGAGCTGAATTGTTTCATACCCTGTACATGATCAGTATGATGGGGTATGATTGACTTACTTTATAGCGTCTGTAACAGAAGAAGATGTGGTCGAAAGGTTAACTTAAGTTCTGGAAGTATTCGATAACATTTCGAAATCGATTAAAATGGATAACAAATCTGTCATTTTAGATAATATTACTTTGATCAGATTTTATGAATGAGTGGAAACTTTAGGTTAGAAATAATAAAAGTTCTATTTTGGTAGAAATATAGCATAGCGTGTGCTAGAAGATAAAGCCAGGAATGTTAACAACTGTAATATGCTATAGGATTTTGGGTATCTTATAGTCAGGCACTTCCCATTGCAACACATATCATACCATGCCATGTTTTATTTGCTAAAAAACAAATGAGAGATAATCAAAAATCCTATTAAAGTTTGTACACCAACTTCAATGAATTAAAACAAATTGAAATTACTTCTCTGCTTGTTTTGGAAAGTAATTTGCCCCGTTCGTCTGTTCTTATATGGAAGCTGCAGTGCACGGCTCCCATTTGAATGACAGAAGCCATAAATGCATATAGTAATAACATTTTATACTCTTTATAGCGCTGACAACTTGGCGGGCATCAGCAAACCTCATGTGGCATACATGCAGTACAGCAAATATATATACAATATATATATATATATATATATATAAATATATGCTATGTGTGTGTGTGTGTGTGTGAAGACAATTTCGCTTTTCTCTCGCGTTGTCACCTGGCCAGCTGAAGCAGTGGCTCTGACAGTGGTAGTGGCTGTGTCCCATGCTCTCGCTGCTCGTAAAGCGCGTGTAATTCCGTTAATACCAATTTCAACGCTTACAAATTGCGCATACGACGCGTGTGGCATGGCAAGCCATGGCGCGGCTTGTCCTCTGCAGCGAACAAGCGTTACACATTTTTCTCTCATTTTCGTTTTTTTTTTTTTTTTTTTTTTTGCTCCTTAGGAAATGAAAATTTCAATACGTCAGCAATGGCAACGGCAACGGGAACAGCAACAGCAACCGCGTAGCCACACCTCTCAGCACGAATGGCAACGGCAACAGCAGGACGAAGTACTCAACCCTCACTCGCCGTTCACGCTGTTGTTGCCGCTGCCGTTGCCTGTTGTCATATGTCTTCCGGTGTTTATTGACAGACGTGGGTGCCAAATGCTCTCCGAGGGCAATATGGATGTGCCCCGCATAACTTTGCCCAATGCCAAAACTTTAATTAGCGTCTGTCCTATGCGAATTGACAACGACATTTGATGCTCATTCGCAGTCGTTCGAGCACACACAAATTAAATTGGATGTGCGCTATTAAAGCGCTATTAATATTGAATATAATTCCAGACTTTTTTTTTTTTGCATTTAAAGCATAAGCAAGAAACTAATGCTAAGACTCCCTGAGGTTGGGATCAATAGCAACAAATATAATTATTCTTTGTGCTCATAATTATTTATTTAATAATAAATTTTAAAATATTGTAGAAATTGATTAATCCTTCTTTAATAGTTTTGAGATATATTGTGAAATATTTTTGTTTTAAATTAAATTATAAGCTTTAAATTATTAAAAAAAAAAAACTGTTTTAGTATTTTCAAAATAATTACAAAATATAAAATAATTTTTTAATTATTAAATTATTAAATTATTTTTATTATTATTATTATTATTATTATTATTATTATTATTATTATTATTATTATTATTATTATTATTATTCTATTATTTATTTAACTATTTTTTATTTATTTTAACAGAATTTATGTTTAATTTATTTTTTTTTTTTGTAGTTTTAAATTTTGTTCCATGAAAACAATTATTTTTTTTTTATAATTATTATATTAAGTTGCCCAAGCATATATTATAAGTTTTTTTTTTATATTTCGATTTTTGTTAGATTTATTATAATTATGTCCATAATTCTTCATACTTATCAAATTTGTATTTGATATTCATATTTTTTATATTTTTCTAAAAAAAAAAAAAAAAAATTATAATAATTTTTATATAATACAAATTTGTATTTTTACTTTCGAATGAGCTTAAACGTTAGCTAAATGGAAATGAACAATTGTAAAACTTTTCTTTCCACACTTCCTGAGCGCTGCATAGACTAAAGAATATCTCTTTGTAGATTTTACATTTGAAAATGATGAATTTGTGCTTAACTTTCGAAGTGAGGCAATCTAAATTCGGGTCTACCTCATTTTCAGAGGGTATTTGATAGTTGAGTTAGTTGACATGTATGGCGCATGCAACACGATTTCAACCCGTTTTTGCATGCGGCATCGCGTGAAGGGTGAGCTGAGCCGTTGACTCGATCGATACAACCCCTACGAACGACTATTTATAGAGTAAGTCAATTAAAGGCGATTGCGTTTCGAACGTGTTTTTCAGTTTTTGCAGTTTGTTTTTTCAAGTACACAAAAGTCAAATGCAACAATAAACATAGTAATAATAATTATAATAATACTGAGTAATAAATAATAAACAATAAATTATAAATAATGAATGACTATTGCTAAACGAGTACAATAAAAAAACAAAATAACAACAAGCGTGTTTCACAACAACAATAACAACAACGAGTTATTTATATAGAGAGAGAGATATATATATATAATATATGTAAAAGAAAATGTCGGTCGACTTGAGTGTGCAACAGGAGCCGACCATATCCGTGATAACCACAGTGCCGGTGGCACAAAATGGCGGCGAAATGGATGCCCTGCTGCTGGGCCGCATTGGGGTGAGTACAACCAAAAAAGAATCAACAACAACAACAACAACAACAACAACAAAATGCAATTTGAAAAAGAGAGAAAGCAATAAACAACAAACAAAAAAAAAAAAAAACAAAAAACAAAACAAACAAACACACAAACAGCTTACTGAAAGCAATACAAATACTTGAATATTTCACAACTAAACTTAACTAAGTAGCAAAATGCGTGACATCTAGATCACAATCACATATATATGTATGTGATATCTCTTTATATATATATATATACATATATACTTGTTTGTTTCAATAGAAGAGTGCGCGCACAACTTTCTCTTTGGCGCGCATATTAGCTAACAAAATATTTGACTTGGCTTTCGCATTTCCACTTGTTCAACTTCTTGAGTTATGCTCCATATTGTCATACCTAATTCATTCCATTTCACACTTTTTACTCTGGTATTTTTCTCTGGCAAATACTACTGCTACTTTGTACTACGACACTAGCTGCAGCATTTTCCATTTCCATCTACATTTTCCACTCAATTTTCTGTCCACTTTACACAGTTCTCTTAGCTTTCTATCGAACTTAACTCTTAGCTTCTTAAATTCTAGTCTTTACTGAAAGTATTTACTAGTTGCAATTACGTCTATGCTTCTATGCTATGCCGAGCATATCGTATGCTATGATCCAACTACTATCACTCTTACATATGCATATATATCTATATATATATATCTATATATTTATATATATTTATCAAATTGCCATTTGCGTAAGTATCGTAGTCATTAATGAATTGCAAGCGATTCGAATATCAGCACAGCCAGCCACGCCCGCTACTGCATCTAAGGTATATCTATATATACACATATATATATATATATATATGTATGTATGTATAAATTGTAATCGATTATTGTAATTTAATTTAGTTGCCTTCAAACTTCGCTTGCAACAATTCAGAAATTTGAATCTCGTTTATTTTCTTACTTTTTTCTTTGAAATATTTTTGTTTTTCCTCTTGTGAAAAGTTCAATTCTTGGAATCATAAAACATGGTCTCAAGTCTTCACAACTGCATTTAAGATGTCAATGAGTTATCGAGTGCTCGAACCTCAACTGTGGTATTGATGAAATGTTTAATTATGCTGAATATACATACCAAATGTAGAGTTACAAAAACAACAACAAATATCTTGCAGAGCATGTGCTTATGCTTTTTATAGGGTATTCACATATGCAAGAGTTGGTATGCTTTATGAATATGCTTTTGTAACTATATATAAATCAATAGATCAATGATTAGCTGCTGACTTTTATGTAGTTAAGCTTCATATAGTAAAATCATGTTAACTATTTTTGAAGTTTAGTTTCATGAAACCTTAGATCTTTCGAATTTTCAGGACATCAAAATTTTGTATGAGCAAAGCATTTGGATACTAGTCCCAGCTGCTTATTTCGGGCAACTTATTTAATTTCATTTTTTTTAAATATTAATATGTATACAGTGAGTAACATTAATACTCGATTTTTTTTTTTTTTTTTTTTTTTTTGCTTTTTAACTTTAAACGCCTATAAGACATAATATTAATTTAAATTAAAAAAGTGTAAAAGCTATATATTGTATATTGAAAAAATAAATAAATAAGTAAATCAATCAATAAAAAATGTATTAATATAATATATTTAACATAACTAACAAAAATGATATATAAACCGGAAAAAAATTGAAAAAAAAGTAATATTGATGTTACTCAATGTATATACATAAACAATTTATTTGGTATTTCATTTGAAAGTTAAACAAGCTTGTCTTTCATATTTAACAAACTTTTTTTGTATTATTATTAATTTTAGTTGCTATATTCATAGCAATTGGTTGACGGGTATCTCATAGTCTGTCACTTTTCGGTTAGAAGATTATTTTATTTATGGTCAGTCAATATATATGGTCATTTTTTTTTTTTTTTTTTTTTTTTTTTTTTTTTACTTTTCAACTTTAAACGCCTATAAGACATAATATTAATTTAAATTAAAAAAGTGTAAAAGCTAAATTGTATATTGAAAAAATAAATAAATAAATAAATAAATAAATAAGTAAATCAATCAATAAAAAAAATGTATCAATATAATATATTTAACATAACTAACAAAAATGATATATAAACCGGAAAAAATTGAAAAAAAAGTAATATTGATGTTACTCAATGTATATACATAAACAATTTTATTGGTATTTCATTTGAAAGTTAAACAAGCTTGTCTTTCATATTTAACAAACTTTTTTTTGTATTATTAATTTTAGTTGCTATATTCATAGCAATTGGTTGACGGGTATCTCATAGTCTGTCACTTTTCGGTTAGAAGATTCTTTTATTTATAGACAATATATATATATAAACATTTGATTATGCATATGTGTATATATATGTATATATACTGCTTATACTGTTTACATAATGTTCTTAAGCTCCGCCCACGCATCCGTGTTAATTGGAAGCTTAGCTTTCGCGCAAGCAAGGAAACTTTAGCTATTATGCTGCATATATGTAGTTGAGCTTATCGCTGCTCCAGCTAGCTGTAGCTGCCAGCAGTTGCTGTGAATGGCCGTACACTGATTTGCAGCAGCCGGACAGCAGTACGTGTGCAGGTAAGTGCCGTTCAATAACGAGCTGCCTCAATTCAATTCGAATCGCTCAGGTGAACGAACCAATTAAGATAAGAACAGAGGAGAACAAAAAGCAAAACAAAACAACATAAAGGAAGTATTTTAGGGTCATTCAAATTATTCTTTTTATTAATTTTAATTTCAAATATAATTTCTACCCTTTTTTTTTGTTTTTTGAATAATTTATTTTTATAGCCGTTTTCAAGGACACTTTCAATGACGTCAAAGGCTGCCAAAGGCTGCTGCTCTGGGTAGAGCATTGTGAAACAAGCTCATTAAAGTGGCAAGTGGCATGCGGCAAGTGGCAAGTGGCAAGTGGCAAGTGGCAAGTGCAGCCATCTGATTATGTAAGCCATAAAAATGAAAATAGAATTTTTTGGGCCAGGCAGCTGCCGCTGCAGCCTTTCAGCTCAGTTGCCATACGAAGTGTGGATGGGTAGGGGGGTGGGGAGTGGGAAGGGTAGCAGCTGCATGCCCATGCAAAGTCGACACAATCTTCTTCATCTTCTTTCCTATAGTTTATTCTTTGCTTTTGCTTCTCTTGTTTAAACTCACATGGATTCAAATCTGCACACTTTCATCAGCTGGGATCCAATGCCAGACACACACATACATATGTAAGTACATATTGGAATGCTTTGCCTTCGACTCGAATTGCATGAATGCCTTTAGTTAAGTCTTAGACTTACTTTAGACTCTTACAACAATTTCGTAGCTTACAAATTTATGAATTTTCTTACTTTAAATATATTTTCAAGTTTTTTCATTTCTTTAACATTTTCTACATTTAAAATTGTGAACGGATATTGTGCATTAGTCAGTCAGTCAATCACATATAGCAAATGCTTTCGGGCCAAGCACAAATCTTTTAGTTTCAATCTGAAAATAGTTGCAACAAAGCAATCCCAGCTGGAATGTAATATGCTATTTAGATTTTTTTTTTCTTTTTGTTCCGGAATTTCATATGTGTTCCGGAATGTGTATGTGTGTTCTCTCTCTGTCGGACAAATAACTAAATGCAGCAGTCACATGACCTGCTGAAGTATGGGCAACCGAAGGAAGCTTTCAAAGAATTCATGTATTTGTCTACTCTCTCAGCATAGTCCAAAGTTGAAAAGCATTTTTACATCGAACAAGAGAAAAATAAAAGAGAATGAAATCCATAAAGATAACTAAGAGGCCTTACGCTTCAGTATAATTGCTTGACCCTAAATTTTAAATTTAGAAATTAAATTTTAGAAATTATTAAATAAGCAATTATTTAGTTGAATATATTTAAAATTATTTATATTTAATTACATTCATATTATATATAAGTACATTCCAATATTGACAAATTTTATAAAATAAATTTATATGAAATCATATTGAGCTCAATCGGGCCTAACAGACTGCGTGATGCTTTCCCATTTTCCCACTTTGTGTTTAATCCCGAAACTCATTGAAAAAAAGGGGACAAAATGGGCGTTAGGACGGCCTCCTGTAGGCTTCAACATATAACTTATCGGAAAATTGTTGACACTTTATCAGACGAAGGTATACTGGAGTATACGTTCCAAATTTAGAGGATCTAGTTTGAATAGCGGCGAAAAGCGCGGATGAAGAGCAAGAAGAACAATACAAGATGAACTAACATATTTTATACCCTTTGATAGAATGGAGCGATAATTATATTATATTTGAGTTATTAATATTTTTTTTAAATTTATTATTTTATAAGTTAGTTGTTTTTTTTTTAAGTAATAAAATCATTAAAAATTGTGTAACATTTAATTATTTTTTAATATTTAAATTTGTACAGATCAATATGTTTAAAATTAACTATTATTTTAATAGGTTTCTTTGGAATAAGTGTATGTATTATATATATTTTTACTTTTATACTTAAATGTTACGTATTCAATAATTTTTATAATTTTTTAAAGATATAATTAAAATGTTATAATTTTTATAATATTACATTGAATTTATTTTATTATTTAATAAAATTAAATTGGCTTTGCATACCTAATTTATATAAATATATATATTTATATTTATGTAGATATATATTCTGCTCTTAACTGAAATTTGTTTATGCAAGAGCAACACAGAGTGTGAGAGGCAGAGTCAGATTTAGAGAGAGAGAGAGAGAGGGATAGAGAGAGAGAGAGGGACAGGAATTAAGATTATGAGCAGATCGCTTGAGAAATGTTAGAAACGTGTGCTTTGCTTCACTGTCTTCGCATGTGAGTCGACATTTTGAAGGAACACACACACACACACACACACACACACTTATATGCATTATAATATGTATACTGCATGCCATAACGGTAATCGAAATTTTATAATCTTACGCATCGGCAGCTGCGCTCAGCCAAAGCCCACCTACCTCCCCCACTCCCCACACGGCGGTATAAAAGTTGTTTCAAGTTGTTTGTGGGATTTGTTAGCCGAGCGCCTCTGATTGCATCTTTTGCATACGGCAGAAGGGCGTGGCCCATATGGGCGTTGTCAAAGTTATGCAATTTTGGCCAATTGGAAGGCAGCGCAGCGCAGCTTTGCTTTGTTTACCATGTCAGCTAAGCAGAGCTGGCAGCAGCAACATGCCACATGCCGCATGCCACATGCCACATGCCACATGCAACAAATGCAACAACGGTCGCATAATTGATGAATCAAGCAGACAACTGACTGCGTGGACAATGCTGAATGAGCAGAGCAGAGCGAGAGAGCCGACTGAGTGACTGATTGACTGATTGACTGACTGACTGAGTGAGTGACTGTCGCATTGAGTGTTGTACACGTTAATCGAATTAAATGCTGGCCAAGTTGTTGTTGCTGTTGCCATAGTCACACACACATGTGTGTGTGTGTGTGTGTGGAAGCTGTACAATATGGCGTAACCGTTTGCCTTGAGCGTCAAGCTTGATTGAGTTCAAAATCAGATTTGTTCAGCGCTCTCACATTGCAAATTGAAATAAAAACGAAACGTGACATTTGGTTGTGGCAACAGGCACCCGCAGGCCTCGTATCGCACACACACACACACACACATACTAACATGAGAGAGAGAGAGAGAGAAAGAGCATCGTTGGCATGTAAAATATATCTAACAATATGGCAGAGCAGTTAAAGCTGATTGCGGCAATGGCAGGCAGCTCAGTTCCCAATGGACCTAGAGCAATATATATATATGTATATATATAAATATACATATACATATATATATTTATGTGTATATATATGTTTTTTTAGAGTCGCATATCTTTTGTATGGGTTGCGGGTGCCAAACAATCAAATAAAGTTTTGCATTTTACCCTTTTTTTTTATACCCTGAACCCATTTTCAATGGGAAATCAGGGTATAATGGTTTTCTTGAAGTGTATGTAACAGGCAGAAGGAGGCGTGGCAGATTCCACAAAGTGTATATATACTTGATCAGGACGACGAGCTGAGTTGATTTGATCCTGTCCGTCTGTCTGTCCATCTCTCCATATGTTTGAACGCGTCGATCTCAGAAGATATAAGAGCTGGAGACTTTTTTTAAACGTGCGTATATATAGCGCGGAATTCGAGTATATCATCCAAAATGATAAATCATACCGTTATTTTTTATCGATAAAAACCTTATCGAAAATGAGTTATAAAATGATATCTCTTACATTTTTAAAGCTAGAGTCTCTAAATTTTAAATGCAGATTCATATGTACTTTATAGAATTTCGATTTTTTTTTTATTATCCACCCCCCACCACGAAATGTGTGTGTTTCTTGTGTAAGCAGGAAGACGCGAAAAATGATTGAAATATCAGCTGCTCGAAAGGTTCAGAGGATCTCATAGTCGAGCAGCAGTCTCGACTAGCGCTTTCTTACTTGTTTTTGTTTTTTTTTTTTTTACTTACTTTATTGTCAAAATCAATAGATGTCAGCGTTTAACAGTTGCCAATGCCAATGCCAATGCCTGCTGGCGTTTTGGCCATGGCTTGGCCATTTCTAGCTGTCAGTTGCTTTGTGCTTTATTAGATTTGGTTTGGCGCAGGTAAGTGGAAAATGTTTCTATCTCTATATGTATGTATGTATTGTATATCTCTATATATGTATGTGTGTATATATGTATATGTATATGTAGTTGTCCTAATCCCTAGTGTATTTTCTTTTATCTACTGCGCTAACATCTTGCTTGCTTTACTAATACGCACACACTCACACTCACACACACACACACAGACAGTGACACATACATATAAAAAATATTCATACATATGTTGTTTATATATATCTCTATATATATAACAAAATTTAATTATGCAATCATTTTAAAATATAAATTATTCTTTTTCTCTTCTATTCCCCCCACACACAAACAACAACAACAACAACAACTCATAAATATAAATATATATATATATCCAATATACATTCAACCAATTCAATATATACTTTATGTACTTGTGTGTGTATCTGTGTCTATTAAAATACAAAAAAAAAAAAAAAAACAACAACAACAACAAATACAATAATAAATACTAAATGTACACCCAAAAAAAAATACTAAATACTAAATATTGATGCAGCATTCGGTAAGTGGAAACTGTTAAGCTAATTACAATTTATACTATATATTTTTATACGGAATACATCAATAATTTGTTGACTTTCAGTTTTTTTGTTACCTTTTTCATTTTCCTTTTGGGCTTCCCTTGTGTGTGTGTGTGTGTGTGTGTGTGTGTGTGTGTGTGCCACACGACGTATGATTAATATTTGAGCAGTATTTACAAGCTATTAGCTTTGCTAGGGCTTCAGAGAGAGAGAGAGAGAGAGAGAGAGAGAGAGTGACTGGAGTATATATATAATTTGTTTCCATCTTTGATTTATAACAACGTAATTTCCTCTACAGTGTGTCTCGTTCCTCACTCTTTGAGCACTAGACTCCAATCCGAATTGTGTTCAATTGATTGATCAACAAGCGAGCTGAAACGAAAACTTAAATTATTTGACAAACTGAAGACAAGGTGCGGGCAGAGAAGCTGAGAAGCGACAGCTGCACTGAGATATATATACATATATATATATATATATATATTTTTTTTTTTTTGTTACATATTTAATGCGCTTATTGTATTGCAGAAACTACTCAGCCATGATTTGGGTATTACAATAGCTAAGCCGCTTAGCTGGGCTGCTCGCTATCATATCAGCTGGTTATCAAAGCAAATGCCTGGGGAGCAGCCTCAGAATTAGTCAACTGTGACATGGCAACCACATATGTATGTATGTATGTATGTATATCAGCTTGGTGTGCGAAATGGGGAGAGGAGGCCAAAGCCGAAATTACAATGCGAGAAGATCTGTTACAAAAATATGTCTATTTCCCATTAGCATATGTCAATTGAGAATCAGAAATGGAATTCGAAATATGCTAGCATGGAATAGGCTAAGCTCTGGCAGTTCAGGTGCTTCGCAGAGAATTTGCAGAGCAATTCATTGAACATTGAACATAATAATATTCGTAAATTTAGGGAAAAGGGAATATTAGTTTTGTGCCATAAAAGTTGAATACAAATTGGGAATTTATATCAAGTTTACCTTAGGGGTCTTACACAATTCATACACTCTTTCTCTCAATTTGATGAAATTTGTTTTCCTATATTCGCTCTACCAATTTTAAAGATTTGTTTCACATAGACTATCTAATTCTCCCTCTCCTTTTATCGCTGTATTCCCTCCTTCTCTCTCTCTCTCTGCCTCTCTCTCTCTCTGCCTCTCTCTCTCTCTCTCCATATATATAAATGAAAATCTGTTTCACATTCTCTCTTTTCTCCTTCTCTATATCTCAATATGTTTTCCATAGTTTACCTCTCTGTCTCATTCTATCTTTCTATCTCTCTCCCTGTTTCGCTCTCTCCCTCTGTATAAATATATATGTACGTATATCAAGATGATTCAGTCTCGTTTGTCTTTTTCTATACCTCCATATGAAGCTATATTTTACACCCTTTCTTTCTCTGTCTCTCTCTCTCTCTCTCTCTTTCTGTCTCGTTTTTTTTTCATTCTCTCTCCCTTTCTCTCTCTTTCATATATTTTCCCTTTCTCTCTCTCTGTCTCTGCCCCTTTGCCCCCACACTTATTTTCCCAGCTGTTTGCCCGTTGTTTGTCAATCTCTTTCCTCATTTCAGTCTATTCTTTCTTCATTCCCTCTCTCTCTCTCCCTCTCTCTCTGCCTCTTCACTATCTCAATGTTTGCTTATTTGTAAAATATATACAAGATATCTGCTCAATCTAAATTTTTGGCTGTCTGCTCAGCAATGCGATTTCATAAGGCCTTTGTTTCTAGCCCTTGGAAGCGGCGGCAATCTTCTTTCAGTTATGATGATTAATGCGGCAGCAGCAGCAGCAGCAACAGGAGCGCAGATAAGTTCAAGCAGCAAGTAGTCGTAAGACAAAAGTCTCTTTTGTGCTGTTCCCGGCTAATGGACAGCCGGCGGCAAAGTGACATCTCCATCTCGCTGGGTTACCTGCGCCTGGCCTGGATTGGCAGGGCCTGAGCTATCCTAACGATGCCATTATATTGTCATGAATATGATTATGCTGGTGCTGCTGCTGCTGCTGCTGTGAGTGTATGTGTGTGTGTGTGTGTGTGTGTGTGAGATGTGCTGTGCGTCGCATAATTCATGGCAAAGTTTTACGCCTCTTAAGTAAATAGCGCAAAATGGAATAGAATTATGCGTGCCAGCCGCCTCAAAGTATGCACAAATTTCTCTGCATGACAATTTATGCGACGAGCGTGTAAAGAATTTCTGCCCCAGTTGTGCAACCTCCCCCCCTTCTCTCTCTCTCTCTCACACACACACACACACACCGCTCACACTCCAATCTCGCTTTGTGTCTAATTGCGCGTGGGTGCAGCAGCTCTTGGGCCCGAGTGCCAAAAGGTTAGCGTCAGGTGCTGTCTGCCGTAATTAAAGCCACAGCAACAGCAGCAGCAGCTGCTTTAGTCTTGGCCTGACAAAAGTTCAAGTTCACAGCACAGTTGCCGGGCTCGACCTTGCTACAAAACTGACAAAAATACCCACACACACACGCACACACACACACACACGCATACAGGAGCGAGCCGGGGGAGCACGCTCAGCTCAGCTCAAGTGCAAGCTGCAACGGTTCGTGGCAAGGTTAGTTAAGGTCCACAATATTTTCTGCTTATAATTCACGTGGCAAGCTTTAAAGACTTTTATGAGATGCCCACATAGGCAGTCAGGCAGACAGACACACAGACAAACAGACAGACAGGCAGGCAGTCAGATGGCATCCCCACGCAGTCTCAGGCTGGCAAACAAAACAGAACATCTAAGCAACATCAAGTATACGTCATGTTGCGCGGCAGCTATGCAAGATATTTTTGATATTAAACAGCCGCACATAGCGCACATTTTCAATTTTCATAATAATACAGCCATCCACGGCATTGCACGCTCTACTTTATATGCTCAATGCCATCAAATAATAATTATGGCCAAAAAAAAAAAAAAAAAAAAGAAGCAGATATAAATGAAAACTGAGTGCCAGCTATTCGTTTGGCTCTGCTGAGTGAAAGCCAAAGTTGATTGTGAATGATTAGGCAATAGATGAGCTTAGTAATTTATTCACAATCAAACTGATTGCCTGAAGCATACTATATATAGGGGCAGTACTTGGCTGACATGAGAATCCATTTTTAAGCAATGCAAATACATTTGCATATTTATTATACCCTGAACCCATTGAAAATGGAAAATCAGGGTATAATGGTTTTGTTAAAAGTATGTAACAGGCAGAAGGAGGCGTGGCAGACCCCACAAAGTATATATATTCTTGATCAGGGCGATTTGGCCCTGTCCGTCTGTCTGTCCGTCCGTTCGTCCGTCCGTATGTATGAACGCGTCGATCTCAGAAGATATAAGAGCTAGAGACTTGAAATTTTTTTTCATAGGTCCGTGTATATCACACGCATATCAAGTTTTTCTCTATATATCGATAACTACCCCCGATATTTTATTATCGATTAAAAACCTTATCGAAAGCTAGTTATTTAATTATATCTCCAACACCTTTCGAGCTAGAGTTTCCAAATTTTAAATGTAGACTTATATGTATTTTATATAATTTCGGTTTTTGTTGTAATTTTCCCACCTTTATATCCACCCCCTCACCCTCACCTTTGTAAAAGGCTTATTTCAAGTACTAGAGACTTGTGCTTTGGTATGTACATACATTTGACATTATAATTATGTTCTGAAAGTTTCATTGAGATTGTACGTCTAGAAATTAAATTATTCAACAAATAAATTCTTATAATGTTGCCCACACTGCAGCGCAGCCCAAGCGCAGTCGCTGCTTACTGCGCAGTCAGCAGAGGGCGTTCTAATACGTGCGTGTGTATGTATGTGTGCAGAAAAGAAGTGCAGAGTGATTAGAATATCAGATTAGAGGGTTCAGGGTATCTCCTAGTCGAGCAGTCTCGACTAGAGTCTTCTTACTTGTTTTAATTTTATATTTATATGCATTATTTTATATTTGTATTTTTATTTATATGCAATTATTTTAATTAAACATTCAATTTTAAATTTAAAAAATATTTAATAATTATTTAATATTTGATTACTGCTTAAGCAATTTTTTTTGTTATATCCTGAAATATTAAACCATTCAAAATGGAAAATCAGGGTAAAATAATTCCTGCGAAAAAGCATGTAGCAGTTAGAAAAAGGCGTGGCTGACCCCATAAAGCATATATATTCTCAATCAGAGCTGAGTCGATATAGTACTATCCATCAGTACTTCTGTCCGTCCGTAAACACTACACGCAGTTTAAGTTGATCTTATTTTGTATCGATAGCGCATCGATAATAATCGATAATTAGTAATTTTTAGAGTTTATGAATACCCCGCATGTGTTGCTAGCTATGTATTCATGAGAGAAGCGTAGAACAATTGGAACATAAGCTCTCTGCAGGGGTCAGGGGATCTTGATTAGAGCACTCTTACTTGTTATATTTATTATGATTCTCTCTTACTCCAAAAATCGCCCTTAAAATTCAAATAAATTGCTTAAAAATAAACCCGCCCAACTGTCTTTACCCTGTCATATTTGATATCAATACGCCGAAACATTTGCTCATTTCGATTATTATATTTTGTCACGGCGAGAATTTCGCTGAAACGAACAAAAAAAAGTATGCAAAAAAAAAAAAAAAAAAAAACATGTCAGCAATAAACAATTTTCGCGGATAAACTCAAAATCCAGCGCCATAAAAAAACAATAAGCGTCTGAAGTGAAAGTGGAAGTGGAAGCTGGGCCAGAAGGCGAAACATTTGCGTTTACAAATCGATGGTGAAATTGCGCTTATCAGCAGATATAAATCACAATATCCAGGCGTAAGCTAGACACTGCTGTCGGGACATGTGCTGGGGCCTTGCAGGCTCTTTTCGGCTAAGGAGCTCGAGCTGTAATTGTCGGCCAAGATGCCGAGGCGAGCTCGTCAAATGCAGGCAAGGCAAAACAAGGCAAGACAAGGCAAGACAAGACAAGGCAAGACAAGGCGAGGCGAGGCGCGGCCAGGCCAGGGCAAGAACCGATGAGTAGACAAAAGAGCGATAAGAACACTTTATGTCATCCAGTCATGTGTGTGTGTGTGTGTGCGTGTGCGTGTTAAGTGGGCGTGGCCACGCCTGTGTGTGTATCTGTGATGTAAAGCTTAAGTTAATAGCGAATATTTACAAATCGATTTTGTTGTGATTGCGAAAACAATTTGAAAATGGCTTTGAGCGATTTCCAAGGAACTCAAGCGGCAAGCTGGCAAACATGGCCGCCCACACACACAGAGAAAGAGAGAGAGAGAGAGAGAGAGAGAGAGAGTGCGAGGCACACACATACGTAAACCACATGCTCATAGTCATACACACACACACGCACACACACAGTGGAGTCACTCACACTCGTGCGCTTTTCGTGACAATAGCAAGGCTGAGCAATTCGCTGCAAATCCTTTTCTATTGTTCCCACACACACACACACACACACACACACACACAGACACACACATATGCAGTGCACTCACGATGCAGCCGGCAGCTGGAAGACAATCCCATTTGTCCGCAACGCCTGACAACATTCACGTTTGCCAATTTGTCGCGGCTGTCGGTTAAATAGCGTCCAACTGATTTGGCTGGACATTCGGGTTCATTCAATGGCCGGACGAGTCCTTCAAATGGTTCCATGCCATTCGGCGCATTTGGCCATGCAACAATCGGATGCGAATGTGGACATCTGTGGACGAGCGCTTGATCCGTTTCACTGCTGGATTCGTGATTCGTGTCTCGTGCGTGCTTATCGTGTTCATTAAGCCATTAAGCGAATCTCAGCAAATAGTCGATGTACTCCGTGTACTGCATTGATGTTTATCGTACGTGCTTGTCATGCTGCTTGCCGCTTGAGCTGTAAAGAGCATAGAATAGCTATACCATATAATAAACATGCAGTATATACATTTGGATGTTCTAGTCGGGTATAATATGCACAAGCAGGAGCCACTTTCAAGCGTATTCCGTGAGTGAAATGTAGACGGGAGTGACCGACCGACCAACTGATGGCTGATACCCTGCCAAGGTCTGATATTCCAGGAATTTGAATGAATGAAATTAAGAGCGAATTTATGAATTTATTTTTGAATTGTCAACTCGTCAAGAATAAGGAAAAGGAAAAGGCGACATGAGTGTGACCAGACTGAATACCATTTTAAAATACCTAAATACAGTGTTTGGTATTAAGTTTCGTCTGCAACAGAACTCACGGGTGCTACCAGATCTTTTCGGTTCGTGCTGACAGCTCGTAATATTCGAGAAGAACAGAGCGTGGGAGAGAGAAACATAGAGAACGAGAGATAGAGACAGCGGAAGAGAAATAGATAGAGGAAGAGGTATACAACCACCGATGCTAGCATAGACTCGTTATAGCTGCCCAGAATGTGACCAGATATAGAGAGCTTGCGGGAGAAGAGATTCGGCTTAAGACTGTGGAACAAGTAAAAACTTTGGGTTAAAAAAGAGCAACTTGAGAAAGTGAGAAGACTGAGGGATATAGAAAAATATAGCGCAAAGGACTTAAATGGACGGCGGACCTATGAGGACTACTGGATCTATCTATCATATATCTAATATACATATTTATATATGTACAAAAGCACTTTCGACCATCGTCTATACAGTTCCATAGGGCTCTATAAGACTTCATACCAAGACAGCTGTCAGACATTGAACTCACATTTAGCCCCAACTCCAAATATTTATTTATCGTCTCTTTTTTTCTTTAACATAAAATATAACAGTTCTGATTAATTCATGGCCCGTACTGGAATCGATCCTCATATTGGTCGCGCGGCGGCTCGTCATACTCGCTGTAATTCGGCTTATTCTTGCTCCTGTTGAACACCCCGCGTGCCATGGGTTTCTTGGGCTCCTTGACTAATGCGCGCATCCTCGCATCGCTGTTCATTGAGCTGAGCGAATGATCATCCGGCGAATACTCATTGCCATCGCTGTCGACATATTTGCCTTCGACTTCGAAGTCCGCATAGGCATCATCGCCCATGTCATCCATGTGCTCCTGCATTTTAGCCATTTGAACCTTTTCGATCTCCTTTTCTGCATCTTCCAAAATTTTGTCAGCCGAAGAGAAATCGCTCCAGTGACTCTTCTTGTTTCGCCCCTTCAGAGTCCGGCTGCCTTGGCCAAACGGTCCGGACTGGCGGTGCTTTGCCACAGTGCGTGTGCCATCGTCGTCATCGTAGTTGAAGTAGCGTTTTTCCTCTTCCGGCACGCTGAAGGTCCTGGCCAGATAGCCAGCAAATAGAGCAAAGAAAATAAATGCCACAAAAATATATTTAAATTTATTATTTTCCATGCTGTCGATGTGACTCGGAGCGGCTCAGTCTCCAGTCTGAACTGGAATCTCAAATGAAATCAACTGCCTAAACATTTTCCCAGCATGCAGAGCCTACTACGACCAAGAATTTCCATTTCCATTTAACCCAAGCAAATGAATGGGCATGAAACTATGTATGTATGTACATACACATACACATACAAGAGCTATTGTTGCACACGCCAAACTTATTTAACGGATTATAACTTATTTATTTGTTTACCTTGAACCCACTGAAAATGGGAAAACTGGGTATAATGGCCTGACTGGAACAAGCAGAGGGAGGAGTGGCAGCACCCATGGAGAACAGGTCGACGGGCAGAGTAGAAATAGGTAGTGTCTGTCCGTCCGTACAAATTCGTGCTGTAAAGCAGTTCGTATTGCAAATTTGACTTTGTTTCTTCTATACCATTGGAGCTAGAGATTTCAAATTTACAACGTTTACGTAATGAATACAAGAACTTAGTAATTTGTAGATTTTCGATGCCACGCCCCTCTTCGGCAAATTTGCAAAAAAAAAAACGTACAACATCAAGTACCAAAGCCTTGTGCTTTGCCAAATACATTCGAAAGCTATTATTACGTTTGAATAAGAATCTTCAAACGTAATTACGTTGCGTAAACTACGCAGCTAGCAGAGCTTGTGCTTATGTGTGTGTGTGTGTGCATGTGTTATTTGTGTGCTTGTGTGCAACTGTTGACCGTTTCTCGATGCTGCAAATAAGTGTCTCTCACTCACACTTTGAGAAAACACTCAGAGAGCAACCGATTGCAACGGCTCCTTAACGAGCTCTCTCGTGATCGGCTCAGCAAACGTTTTGTTGTTGTTTTGTTTCGCTCTGGACGTTCGCCGACCGTTTGGTTGAGTGGAATAAAGCAGAAAGTCTTGTGCGTATGTATTGGTATGCAAGCGAGAGTTAAGTTCGCTGAGCATATCAATAGCGCTCGCGAATTGAGTGTATGTGTGAGTGTGAGTCTTGCTTGCCTTGAGTTTTTTTTACTGAGTTGAGTCTCTTGTTCGTAATAGAGCGTCAGACAAACAGCTCAACTCAAGGCGCTCAACAGAAAAACGAAAAGGAATGAGGACACTGGCTCAAAGTGAGTGAGCGAGTGAGCATAATATTTTCGGTTGATTTCTTTACGTTTGTAGAGAATATTAAATTTAATTAAATGTTATTGCAATTTTATTAAATTTTGAATAAAAATTAAGCATATGAAGCTGCCTTTTCATATATGCATGTATGTATGTTCAGATGACTTGGACACTACAGTATAACGTACAACATAATTTTATTAACTCATATACCAAACCAAATACAACAATAACAGCAAAGAACATTTCAAACAGATCAAATTTAGTTTACTCTGGAATCCCAGAGAGCAGTCCCGACACACGCTGCTCGATGGCAGCCTGGTTTGTGAGCAGACGGCGCAGATTCTCCTTGAAGGCCCCAACATTTTGCTTTAGGTGAATTTCATTCTCTTGCCTTTGACGTTTCACAGCCGAGGCAGCGGACGCAGCCTTCACCGCCCTGGCCAGACGCAGCTCGTCGAGCGCCTGCAAGTAGCGATGCCTCTCCGACGGAGCGGTCGCGCTGTCCGGCAACGGCATTGCCGATCCATGCGACAGTAGACGCAAGAGCGGCGGCACAACCAGACGAGTCGATGGCAAAACGAATGGTATCGGCAGATATCTGTAGAATGGGTGATCGATATAGCCCGGACGATCTGGCTGCAACGACTGCTCCTCAGACATGTTTCCATCCGCTTTATTGCCGACTGCTGCATATGTTTCCTTTGCAGCTGCTTTTGCTTCTGCGACTGCCTTTGCTCTTGCGGCTGCCTTTGCTTTTGCGGCTGCCTTTGCTTTTGCGGCTGCCTTTGCTTTTGCGGCTGCCTTTGCTTCTGCGGCTGCCTTTGCTTCTTCGGCTGCTTTTTCTTCAGCTTCTTCAGCTGCTCTGCCTGACGCGCACATTCTCTCCAGCTTGTCCGATTCCCATAATGATTTCTTCCAATCCCTATCATCCGCGTCCGAGTAGTCGTCCTCATGGACCAAATAGTTGTGGCGCTTCGGCAGCGGCTTTTTGTTCTTGGCACCCTTCAATTTCGACATGAACGACACTCGACGGGCTGCCGCGGACCTGGCATCCACAATACCCTGGTCCACCGCCTTGCAATCCTCTGTCAGCTTTTTGCTATTCTTATAGATCGTGCGAAGTATGCAGGACGCGTGATCTGCGAATTCTTCGTCTTTGTCATCCTCATCAGAGCCTGCAACATCGACATCATCTTCACCAGCGACATCCCCATCATCATCCCCATCATCATCCCCATTCCCATCATCATCATTATTATCATTATAATCATAGTCGTCGACATTCTCGTAGCCCCCATCCCGGGAATTCTCGGCCGGGCAAATGGCCGACTTGCCTTTAAAGCCAAGCAAGCGTGCGGCCTCGTTGAAGCTGGTGGTGCGCAACAGCGACGGCTTCTGCGGCTTAAATTCCAATTTCAATTCCAGCTGATTCTGCTTACCGGGATTATTCAATGCGCTCACACCACCAGCACCACCAGCGCCACCAGCACCACCAGCACCACCAGCACCAGCACCTCTGAAACCATTTACTTTACCATTAGCGCCAACTCCTCCAGCTGTCAACGCACCACAAGGGATGCACATGCGATTCGGGCCATGGAACCACATATTATGTGGTAGCTGCAGAGCCTCATCCTTCTTCTCGCCCACGGCCACTCCAAGTGCCAGACAGCAGAAAATGCTCAATAAAATAGTCTCCCAACGCATTTTCATGAAAATGAAATCTCTTTTGTGCTGCTCGAAACACACACACACACAATTACTCACTTGTGACTGCTACTGAAGTCTATGTGCCTGACTACTGTTTGAACACAAACAAACACAAAGGAAATCATAAACAATTAACAAAAGTCAAACGACAAATATTTTGCCTAAGGGCAAACAGAATTTATCTGATCTACTGATTGGAAATGACCAGCATCTGGCTTTGGCCATAGACGATTCTCAATGCCAGCTGAATGGGGTATATTGGTTTTCAGGGTGTGGCTGGAGGTATATGTCATATGATATTGAGCCAGAGGTTTTCGTTGCGTGAAGTTATTTGCCTGCTATAATATATACCATATATACATATATGTATGTATGTATATATTATATTTATATTTATTTTTATCAACAAGTTTACAAGTTTTTGAATTGCTAATCCAGGAGTTGGCCTGTCAAGTTGAGTGCGCTGCTCGCCTGGAATTTCCAATAACATGAAATACCACACGAGGCGCAGGCATGCAGAACATCGCTATACAAATCGATTAGGCCAAGTCTAGCTAGAAAATTTCATGGCTTATGCTCCTTGTTCTTGTTATGCCTCGAGCTGCATGCTGCAATTGAATATTTGAAGTTCTTTGGTCATTCAAGGCTTGATCCTCGAAGAATTTTTATGACTCCTCAGTGCATTGATGATTTCTGCTGCGATAAGCAATAATTTAATTCACCTCAAGATGGGATTTTCTAGCTTAATTTTTATATATTTTTTTTTTTTTTTTTTTTATAATTTTATTTTAGTTTTATTTCGGTTTAGTTTTACATTCGTTGGAACAAATATGTGTGATTATAGCGATCATTTTTATGGGCCTCGAGGAGTTAGTGGAGAAGTCTGATGAACGAAGTAGTTGGCCTGGAAATTTACCAGCTAAATATATTGCACTTAAACTATATACACTCGGGTCTCGTTAAGTTGTACCCCGCTAAATCGAAAATCACA